ACTGCTGTCTTCAAGGTCTGAAAGTCTATCTTCAGTTTCCTTCAAGTGGTTTTTTTGCCAGCTTTAAATGGAATTCTTAATTTCCTGGATATCTGTTTCAGGCATTCTAATTCTTCGCTGTATTGTTCCTTTAGTGTTTCCATCACTTTTCTATTGTACTCTATTTTTTAAATCTATGTCTTCTTAGCTGTGCTGAGCAATTCTTTAATTGTCGTAATTTCCTTTTTTTAGTTGAGAGATTATTTCTGATCGTATTTTTCAATATCCTAATGGACTTGTTTCCTTACTTCAGTTGCTATCATTTCAGAAACTTCAGGTGTGTATCTTCTATGTTCTTCTATGTCATTGTCTTTTGGACTTGTTCTGGGTGGACTGTAGAATTGAGATTGCCTTTTGGCCTTGTGTTCTGGCATTTTTGAAGCTCCCAATAATCACCCAGACTTAGCAGTGAGGGAGAGCAGTGGGGCATGGGTCAGTAAAACTCCTGCTACATTGCAGGGAGGGGAGGACAAGGTGGGACTCACCAAGGTTCTCACTACTGGTGGGGTTGCCCTGCCAATGCCCAGCAAAGCTTCTGTGCAGGTTTTGTGTGTTGGCTGGATTCACCAGGATCCTGCAGTTGCTGAGAGTCTTCCTAAGTTCTCAGATGGTTAGACTGGATGCCAGCCCAAGTTCTGCGCCTGCACCCTGGCCTCACAGGTTGCAGCTCTCCAGAGTCCCACAGGCCACCCAGAGTCCTCCTGTTTAACTCTTTTGAGAAGATATCTAGAAGGGAAATAGCTAGGTCAAATGGGATTTCTGGTTTTCGTTTTTTTGAAGAATCTTCATGCTGCTTTCTGTAGTGTTTGTATTACTAGTTTACATTCCCTCCAACACTGGAGATGAGTCCCCTTTCACCACATTGCCACCAGCACTTGATAATACTGGACATTCTTGGGTTGTTCTTGATTTTAAAGGAAAAACTTTTCTTCATTTAATATGTTGGCTGTAGGTTTGTTACGCTTTGCTTTTATCACATTCAAATAGAAGGTCCTTCTGTACTTGCTTTCTTGAATATTTTTATCACAAATAGATGTTACTTTTTGTCAAAGACATTTTCTGCATCTACTTAGATTATGTAGTTTTATCCTTGCTTCTGTTTATGTGATTAAATTTATCTTTTTGTATATGTTGAACCATCCCTATATATTTTGTGTGAAGTTTGGCTTGGTCATGATGCATGATTTTTTGGTGATTTGGTGCCATTTCCTTGCCAGTGTCTTGTTGAAGATTTTTGTGTATATCTTCGTGAAAAATATTGTCCTGTATTTTTCTTATTTAGTTGAATCCTTGTCTGGTTTTAAAACCAAGGTAATGCTAGTTTCCAGAAATGAGAGTTTGTCAGGGCTCCTTTCCTTTCACTTTCATTAAGGAGTTGATGACTGTTGGTATTGTAACCTCCCTGAAGATCTTGTAGAATTCAGCAGTGAATCCAACAAGTTCTGAGCTATCTTAGTTGGTAGAATTTTAATTAATACCTCAGTATCTTTGCCTGTCATTGAGCCATGGTTTTTAAAATATCTTTTTTATTGTTTTGATTCATAGGTGTCTAGGAATCTGTCTATTTCTTCTAAATTCTTTGATTTACTGGAGTATATAGCTTTTAAAATAGTTACTAATAATCTCGGTCAGCTATATGCATTATGATTTTGCTTATTTTCATTTGTAATTGCATTTTGTGGGTCTTTCCTTTCAAAAACTTGGTTAAGAACTTGTCTACTTTGTTCTTTTGAAGAAGTAGCTCTCTGATACATGGATTTCTTTGTATTAATGTTTAAATTCATTAATTTCCTTCTTTGTATTAGTTTTTGCATCTGGATTGGTTTTGGTTTTCTAGGACCTTTGTGCTGCGTCACATAGTTATTTATTTGGGTTCACTGTGTTTTTCTTTTTTTTTTTTTTTTTTTTCTTTTTTTTTTTTTTTTTTTTTTTTTTTGAGAGAGAGAGAGAGAGAGAGAGTGTGGTGTGTGTGTGTGGCCAGCTCAGCCCACGAGGGGGCGGGGCCGGCTGGCATGTGGTGCTGGGGGATCGAACCGCGGTCCCTGATGCTTTGCTAAGCTTGTTCTAAGTAGGTGCTTTAGACCACTGAGCCATCTCTCCAGCCCCCACTGTGTTTTTCTGATGTGGGCATTCACCGCTATAAACTCTCCTCTTGGCATTGCTTTTGTTGGGTCCCATAAGTTCTACTGTGTTGTGCTAACAGCACTACTGTTTGATTCTAGGAATTATTTTTTGTTTTTATTTCTTCTGTGACCCATTGAGTATTCAAGAGTGTGTTATTTAATGTTGTTCAGATGTTTGTAAAATTTCTGTGGTTTCTTTCACCATTGGTTTTCAGTTTCATTGCCCTGTGATCTAGTAGTGTATATGGGACACTGTCAGTTCGAAGAATGTGTATTCTGTTATTGTTGGCTAGACAGGACACTGTAGATGTGTATTAAGTCCATTTGTTTGAAGGTATGATTCAACTCTACTATTCATTTGTTTGCTGATTTTTTTTTTTTTTTTTTTTTTGTCTATTTTTGTGATGGTGGGATATTCAGGTCCCTCAAAATGATTGTGCTGACATTTATCAGATCTTTTTATCTAGTAATGCTTCTCTTATGAAATTAGGTGCAGTGGCTTTCAATGCATATATACTTAAAATTGCTCTCTTCTGTTGAATTGTTCTCTTAACAAATAGTGACCTTCTTTTCCTCTTTTGATCAGTTTGGTCTGAAAATAGAAAAAAATAGAAAAGCTATTCCTACTTCCTTTCAGGCTCCTATTGCATAGACTATTGTTTTCAACCATTTTATTTTTATTCTACACATTTCTTTTTAGATTAAGTATGTCTCTTGTGTTGTATAGCATATTACTGGTTTTTGTGATCCAATCTACTGAACCTGTACCTTTTAATTTGGGAGTTTAGGCTACTTACATTGACAGGTATTAAAGATACTGACTCGTTCTTGTCGTTGTGTTTTTGGTATCTTTTTTTTTTTCTGTATTTTAGGGAAGGGTCTTCAGGGTGTTTAGGGTCTCATTACTAGATTGGACTCGTAGTGATCCACCTGTTTACAGCCTCTCAAGAGCTGGGATTACAGGCGTGCGCTACCATGCCCAGTCTCAAAAGTTCAGAAGGATTTTTTTGGCCTGCTCAGGATGCCTTAAGGGAAGGTCTGGTTAGGCATGAGGATCTGGGGAATCAAACCGCAGAATTCTGAGCCTGACTGCCTTGCATAAAGGGGCACTTAAACAACTGAGCTAATGGGCAGGCCCCCAAATTAGAACTGATTTTTTATTTTTATTTTTTTGGCAGAACTGGGGATTGAATTGAGGCCCTTGTGCTTGCCAGGCAAGTGCTTAATCTACTGAGCCATCTCCTGGCCTCCTGTTATGTTTTTATTTTGCTCTTGCTGATTCCTTTATTTTCTCCTTGCTTAGCTGTTCTCCTTGCTTGATACATTCATTCCATTAGACTTTTGGCATTGTCGACTTTATTATTGCTGTCTAGGATATCCTTGAGAAATTTTTGGAGTGATAGTTTGGTGGCCATGAACTTTTTAAAGTGTTTTTTTTAAATTCAGCCTGTTTTAAGTTTTAGTTTGAGGAAGGGGTTTGGTAAAGAGAATCATCATGTGTTTTGTACCATTTTATACAGAGGGCTATCTTAGTTACTTTTTACTCGTTGCTGGAACAAATACCCAACACTCAAAATGAAGGAAGGAAAGGTTTGCTCAATTTGTGGAGGTTTCAGTTCATATTCTGCTGGCTCCAAGGCAAATGACATTAGTTCACCGCAGGAGAAAACAATGAAGAGCAGAGGAGGAGCAGCAGCTGCAGCGTCCATCAGGCCTCTCCCTTCCTTCTATGCTGACTGCAAGACTGGCACTCTACGCAAAGATCAGAGCTCCACTGCAAACACGAGCGCTCCACTGCGAAGATTGGAACTCTTTGCAGCTGTGAAGATCAAGCTCCTCTGGAGACTGGGAGTTCTCCAAGGAAGCGGGGCCTGGCAGCCAGGAAGCCCTCCTCAACTCCTTTATATACACTTTTTGTGCTGAGCCACTCTGGGGCAGCCCATGGCACTAGGGTGGAACCAATCGCACCCCAGCGTGGGCCCAATTATGCTCTAGGGTGGAACCAATTACACCCAGGTTGGGCCCTGCCCACCTGCAGGGCAGGGCCCTCACAGCCTGGAACTGCCAGAGCCTATTCAGCCAAGTTGATACAATGTAACAACTACCACAAGGGCTTTAAAAGATCACTGATTATATTATTTTTATAAATATCACAGTTAATAATTTCATTTATTCTATTGTTTTATTCTTTTAATGATTTGTACTATGCAAGCCTAAAAACAATAGAACTTTTTTTTTTTTTTTTTTTAATTCAGGCCCTTGCGCTTGCCAGGCAAGTACTTATTCTACTGAGCTAACTCCCTGGTCCAGCATTTTTTGTAACAAAATCCAAATATGTGCGCTTATTTGTGAACAAAGCTCAGTAGATAAGAAGGACTCATCTTCTTTTTTTAAATTTATTTTAATGAGAAAGAAATAGCAGTGAGACAGTTTCAAAACAGGTTAGTAGGACAGTTACAATAATTAATGCATTGCAACAACTTTTTTGGATAATTATAAATTATAAGAAATGCCTGTCTGTATTTGGTTGGCCTTGAAAAGGAATATTTTGCTTAGAATTTCGTGAGTTTTATTTAAATGGTTTAAAAATTTTTTTTGTGGTTTATTATGGGTAGAGTTTTCTTTTAGTAGCTATAGGTTTTCTAAATATTGAATGTCTGAAAAACAGCGTAAACAGATGTCTTAATTTCTCTTTCGAGTTTTTTGGTTTCACTTTAAACATTTGTGAATAGCGTCTGATGCATAATGAGCAGCTAACCCGTGGTCTTTTCACTGTACACCGATTTAAATTTTTTTCTGGAACTTATATTCTTGTGTTTTATTTTCTTTACCAATCAGGATCTTCCCAATAACATGATCCATCAGGTACCAATCAAGTCGCTTCCCCAAGAGTGGCTTTGGTGTGAAACGTGGTGTGATGACGCCTCTAAGAAAAGAGCCAAGACTATTGATTTGGTGAGCTGCCCAAGGTGCTCCCCTGCATGTTTACCCAGTGTGCTTTGTGTTTGTGTACTTATTACCACAAGAGCTTTATTCTTCCTGCATAGTGGTATAGTTTAAAAGCTATGAAGCATCATACAGTAACTTCAGCAGTGCTTCAGAGCCTGTGGCAGGAAACCAAGTCTGCTAGTAGCTGATGGCATGTTTCATTATTTATTCTCTATCTGCCTAGTCACTGCTGTCTCCCAGCTGACTTCTGTGCCTCATAGTTTTTCCAGTCTGCCTTTTTCTTTACCTCTCAATAGCTCCTTACAATGTCTTTGAGGAAATAAAGGCCGCAGTGGTCTGTCTTTCATGGTGGCCACCTTATGCTACACTTGTACTTCTTTTCCTACTTCTACTGGACCCAAACTTGCTTCGCAGAGCCTGTTTCTTTTCCTACCTTTAATAAAACTTTGGGGCTGGTGAGATGGCTCAGTGGTCTAAAGCACCTACTTGGAACAAGCTTAGTGAAGCCCAGGGACCGCAGTTCAATCCCCCAGCACCACATGCCAGCCAGCCCGCCCCCTGGTGGGCTGAGCTGGCCACACACACACACACACACACACACATAAATAAATAAATAAAATTTTAAATAAATAAATAAATAAAACTTTGCTACCACTTGTTCTTTTTTCTTTTCCTTTTTTTTTTTTTTTTTTTTTTTGGTGGTACCAGGGATAGAACTCAGGACCCTGAGAATGCCAGGCAAGCGCTTTACCATTTGTTCTTCTCTTAAGACAGAAAGAACCTAGAAACCAACTCCAGAAGGAGACTAGCACCTTAGAACCCAGTAGCAACCTACTGGGCATAGCAGTCTCACCACTGACACATTAGAAGTGAATACAGCTGCATAAATCTTTCATCTTACTGCTTCTGCTCATATATCATCTAATTCCTCAGCGCCGTTCTTTTTGTCCAATTTGGACATGTAACCCAAGAAACATCTTTGAACTCTGTTTAACGAACTCTTCAGCTCAGCTAGTGTATATTCGTTGGGTGTTCACAGTGCAATAATCCGATGACCAAAGAGCCCAAGCTGGATGCAGCTGTGCGCATCGTCCCTGAGTGGCAGGACTATGACCAAGAGATCAAACAGCTGCAGATCCGTTTTCAGCAGGAGAAGGAAATGGGAACACTGGATGAGAAGAAGACAAAGCCAAGCCAGGAAGGTAAGTGCGGACTGTTGGCCTTGGGTCCTTCTTCATATTTCTGTTGCTGTTTGATGAGAAAACAGAATAATGAATAAAAGGATAAGAAAAATCCCACCCTGGTCCTTCTAGCCTGACATGGGTCTGTATGCATCTGCTTTTCCTGTTTTTTTCCAGGGGCCTTTGAAATGGCTTATTAAGGTAGTTTCTCACCTTTTTTTATGTTGCAGGAGAAGAGGATACTTTAATTATAATCCTTGTTATTTAAATTTAAGAATTTTGTGATATCTAGGCCAGTATTTAGGGAAATTCCAGTCAGATTTCTTGGGTTTTACTTTTACTTATCATTAAATCTGTCAAGGCACTAATGAATGAACAAAACTTACATCAAAATGAAGTATATATTGATTTGAAAAAAAGTATTCTTTGAAATAGGCATATTGGGATATGGTGGAGTTTGTGTTCAATTAAGGGACGGATAGAAAAGATTTCTGTAATATTCCTTATCTTAGAGAAATATAATCTATACTTTAAAGATTTCTATAATATTCTGTACCTTAAATAGTAGCCCCTTGAGAAAACCATTAGAATACAGAGTGACTTTAACAGAAATGATTGGTAAGCTAGGCTCAGGGTGTTATTGCTTAGCTTTGGTTCCAAAGATGCGCGTGTGGAGCCTGAGTCACTTCTAATTTGTGTACAGCCTGGAGACCACCATGCTGCAAAGTAATATAGTCACATTTTCCCCCCATTTTTTTGAGACAGGATTTTGCTGTGCAGCTCAGGCTGGCCTTGAGCTCACTTTGTAGCCCAGGCTGGTCTCGAACTTGCAGAGATCCTCCTGCCGCAGCCTTCCTAGCACTGGGATTACAGGTGCACACCACCACACTCAGCTTAATATGGTCACGTAAAAGTAATTGATTCACATTCATTGATGAAACCTCAAAGATTTTCACAGACAAAGAGCAAAGGATATGCAGACACTGTTCAAATAAGAGGAAAACAGTGTGTAAATCGAAGCAACACTATAATCAAGGAGGCAAGTTTTTTGTTTTTGGTTTTTCTCTTTGTGGTACCAGGGGTTGAACTCAGGGCCTTGTGCTTGCCAGGCAAGCACTTACTCTGCTGAGCCATCCCTCCCTAGTACAACACTATAATCAAGTTGAAGTCGTATCTGCTGTGTAGAGGGAAGTGGACATATTGATAATGCTGTTCGTTGCAGAGACAGTGATGCAGCTGTTGTTGGGATTATCTGCTGACACTATGGATTAGGTCAATTTTTGTTAAAAAAAAAAAAAAAGTGTCTATCTGTCATTGGGAGTCATTAAATGCTTGTGCCCTCAGTAATTCCTCCTGAGAATTGCCTTAAAGAAATAATTTAATACAGACACATGAAGAGTTTCATTTTACTATTATTTATGAAGCAAAAGCATCAAAAAATAGCTTAAACATCCAAGAATGAGCTGTATGGATAAACAGATACACAGACAGATGTTTATGTTATATAGAAAGATTTTCATCCTAGTATAGTGGCATGCACTTAATGCCAGCATGCTGGGAAGCTGAGGCAGGAGAAATTCCAGTTTGAGCCTAGCCTGGTCAATCTAATGATTTGCCAAGACTCTGTTTCAAAATAAATTCAAATTAAATAAGATTAAATTTTTAAAATGGCAAGATGCAGCTCAGTGGGAAGGCTCTGAGTTAAATCCTTAGTACAGAAAAGAAAAGGACTGACAATTCATGCACATTTACTGAATGTTATACTATCCTTATGAAAGTGATTTAGTTGGAATGAAGTTTGCAGGTAGTTTCAGTGGGTTTTTGTATTTGTAATTTTTTTCTTTTCAACCTTTTATTATTATGTTTGCACTACTTAATGATTATGTTCATCACAGGGAAGTGGTACGTGTGCATAACACACCTTCATTCTTTTTATGTCCCCTTGCATCCCTCTTCCCTCCGTCTCTTGGATTTTCTTTCTTTTTAATTTATTTTTTCTTTCACAGTTTTACATTTATTAAAGGTAGGAAAAAAACCACTAGAAGGGTAAAGAAACATCTGGGCTCTGCGGAGTGAGGTTGGGCCAAGTAAAAATTGGAAAAAGAAAGAGAAAAAAGGAAAACACTACAGCATAGGGTGGGCTGCCATGAAGAAAAGAGGTAGCCTTAGAGGTTCAGTGTTTTAAAAAATGTCCTCTATTTTATTTTTGCTTTTAAACTTTAATACAAAGTATCAAACCAAAGCTTATAAGGGCTGGCCAAATAGCTCAATGGATTAAAGCACCTGCAGACAGCCGCAGGGGCCAGGGGTTTGATCCCTGGGCCTGCCGTGCTGGCCCCACCCCTGGGTTGCACTGAGACAGCAGTTCAGACTGAGTGTGGTGGCATGGGCCTGTAATCCCAGCTCTTGGGAGGCTGTGAACAGGTAGATCACTATGCGTCCACTCTAGTAGTGAGACCCTGAACACCCTGTAGACCCTTCCCTAAAATA